GGGGGGGATTTTGGTGTTTTTGTTTTTGTTTTTGTTTTGTTGTTTGTTTGTGTTTTGGGCCCTTAAAAGGTAAATATATACGAAAATGTTATCTTCCGTGGGCTGCATACAATTCAGCGACCAGCTGGCCGAACAGTCTGCTACACTCATTGTGACCAAATGTTCATCTACAAACCTATTGAATACTAGACGCCCTGTCATAAAAATAATATCAGATTCGGAACCGGCGCATAAAAATTCACCAAATTATGTCTTATTGCGGATAACTGTTTCTCGCTGGCGTCTGTGGCGTAGCGGTTTGGCGCTTTGCTTTCGCACGCAGAAGACCCGAGTTTGATTCCCAATAGGGCGAAGGAAATTTGTATCTAATATTTCGGTCTTTTCGCTGGGATGTTGTATCCCTTTCAGCCCGGGTCTGTCTTCTGGGATGTTGTATCCCTCTCAGCCGGGTCTGTCTTCTGGGATGTTGTATCCCTCTCAGCCCAGGTCTGTCTGCTGGAATGTTGTATCCCTCTCTGCCCGGGTCTGTCTGCTGGGATGTTGTATCCCTCTCAGCCTGGGTCTGTCTGCTGGGATGGTATTATATTCCTCTCAGCGTAGGTCTTTTCGCTAGGAAGTTGTATCCCTCTCAGCGCGGGTCTGTCTGCTGGGATGTTGTATCCCTCTCAGTCCGGGTATTTTCCTTGGGATGTTGTATCCCTCTCAGCCTGGGTCTGTCTGCTGGGATGTTGTATCCCTCTCAGCCCGGGTCTGTCTGCTGGGATGTTGTATCCCTCTCAGCCCGGGTCTGTCTGCTGAGATGTTGTATCCCTCTCAGCCCAGGTCTGTCTGCTGGGATGTTGTATCCCTCTCAGCACGGGGTGGCTGTGACTGGCAGGATGGGAAGCTGCTTTCTGAATGATCGAAATTGTGTCGATGATGACGTAAAAACGCATACATGTCTTTTTTTTTTTTGGGGGGGGGGATTTCGAAGATCGCAAAAAGAGAAGTCGTTTTTAACTGGACTGCATTACTATTTGTGAGGCAGCGTGGTGGGATCAGGCTCTTGTCAATGTTTGGGCATGTGGAGTTATTGGTATCATCTGAAAGCTGATTTATTTGCCTTGCTTCCAATGAAATAAATATCCATTTATCGTGGACAGAACTCGACACATTTGCGATCGAAGGAAGTGAGGTCGCCTGGTTTCAGTGGTGAAATTACCGAGAAAATGGCCGCTAAAGT